CACCCCATAGCCTCCATAGCACCCATAGCCCCCATAGCCCCATAGTGCCCCATAGCCCCCCCAGCCCCATAGCGCCCCATAGCACCCCATAGTGCCCCATAGTGCCCCATAGCGCCCCATAGCGCCCCATAGCACCCCATAGCGCCCCCCATAGCCCCATAGCGCCCCATAGCGCCCCATAGCGCCCCATAGCCCCCATAGCGCCCCACAGCACCCCATAGCCCCCATAGCCCCATAGCGCCCCACAGCGCCCCACAGCGCCCCATAGCGCCCCATAGCCCCATAGCGCCCCATAGCCCCCATAGCCCCATAGCGCCCCATAGCGCCCCATAGCGCCCACCTTGTCCGGCTGGGAGTCGTTGCGCGGGTGCTGGAACATGAGCAGGTGCAGGCCCGGCTGGAAGCTGTGGGTCCGGCAATGGGGCAGAGCCCGGACCAGCACCGACTGCGGCCCCCACCACCCATGGGTGCCCGAGAGCTGCCCCACACGGCACGCGTCCGCCTCTGGGGGGCAATGGGGACCCATTGGGACCCATTGAGACCCATTGAGACCCATAGAGACCCATTGAGAGCCATTGAGACCCATTGGGACCCATTGAGACCCATTGAGACCCATTGGGACCCATTGGGACCCATTGGGACCCATTGAGACCCATTGGGACCCATTGAGACCCATTGGGACCCATTGGGACCCATTGAGAACCATTGGGACCCATTGAGACCCATAGAGACCCATTGGGACCCATTGAGACGCATTGAGACCCATTGGGACCCATTGGGACCCATTGATGACCATTGACACCCATCCCCCCACTGCCCCCCATCACCCCCCATTACCCCCATCCCACTGCCCCACATCCCCCCCTCCCCCCATCCCCACCTGCCCCCATCCCCCCCCATTGCCCCCCATCCCCATCCCCCCCCTGCCCCCCATCCCCCCCATCCCATCACCTCCCCCCCCCCCCTGCCCCCCATCCCCCCCATCCCCCCATTGCCCCCCGCCCCCCATCCCCCATTCCTCCCCATCCCCCCCACCCCCATCCCCCCCTCCCCCCAGTCCCCCCATCCCCCCCTATTGCCCCCCATCCCCCCCGCCCCCCATTCTCCCACTGCCCCCCATCCACCCATTACCCCCCATCGCCCCCCGTCCCCCCACCCCCATCCCCACTGCCCCCATTACCCCCATCCCCCCATTTCCCCCCCATTTCCCCCATCCCCCCCGCCCCCCACTGCCCCCCATTCCCCCCTATTGCCCCCCACTAGACAGGAGCCCCCCCGCCCCCATCCCCCCACTGCCCCCCATTACCCCCATCCCCCCTCTAAACCCCCCCCCCCCCCCCCACCCCCCATCCCCCCCTCACCCTCCATGGGCACGCAGGTATCGTTCTGGACGCACCACCCCATAGCGCCGGGGGTGTGGGGCGGCCCCGGCCCCGCCCCCCCAAAAACCAGGCAGGATTCGCAGTCCCCCAGCAGGCGCCACAGCCCCCGGCACCCCGACAGGGGGCACTGTGGGGCAGGGGATCAATGGGGGGCCCATTGATCCCCATTGACACCCATTGACCCCCATTGACACCCATTGATCCCCATTGACCCCCATTGACTCCCATTGACTCCCATTGACCCCCATTGATCCCCATTGACACCCATTGACCCCATTGACTCCCATTGACCCCCATTGACTCCCATTGACTCCCATTGACCCCCATTGACTCCCATTGACTCCCATTGACCCCCATTGACTTCCATTGAAACCCATTGACCCCATTGACTCCCATTGACTCCCATTGACTCCCATTGACCCCCATTGACTCCCATTGACCCCCATTGACTCCCATTGACTCCCATTGACTCCCATTGACTTCCATTGACTTCCATTGACGCCCATTGACTTCCATTGACGCCCATTGACGCCCATTGACGCCCATTGACTTCCATTGACTCCCATTGACCCCATTGACCCCCATTGACTCCCATTGACTCCCATTGACCCCCATTGACTCCCATTGACTCCCATTGACCCCATTGACTCCCATTGACCCCATTGACTCCCATTGACTCCCATTGACCCCATTGAGCCCCACTGACACCCATTGGTACCCATTGACCCCACTGAGCCCCATTGACTCCCATTGACACCCATTGACCCCATTGACTCCCATTGACCCCCATTGACCCCCATTGACTCCCATTGACCCCCATTGACCCCCATTGACCCCCATTGACTCCCATTGACCCCCATTGACCCCCATCACCCCATAGCCCCCATTGACCCAGATAACCCCCATAGCCCCCATTGACCCCCATTACCCCATTGACCCCCATCACCCCATAACCCCCCATAGCCCCCCATATCCTCACCCTGCTGTGGGGCACCCTGCCCCACACCACCCCATCACCCCCATAGCCCCCATTGCCCCCCATCACCCCATTGACCCCCATTCCCCATTACCTCATTGACCCCCATTCCCCCATTGACCCCATCACCTCATTGACCCCCATTCCCCCATTGACCCCCCTCCCCCCATTGACCCCCATCACCCCCATCACCCCATTGACCCCATCACCCCATAGCCCCCCATTGTCCCCCATAGCCCCCATATGCCCCCATGTGGGCCCCCCCCTTGCGGCCCCTGCCCCACACCACCCCATAGCCCCCATAGCCCCCATTGACCCCCATCACCCCATTGCCCCCCATTGCCCCCCATCACCCCATTGACCCCCATCACCCCATTGACCCCCATCACCCCATTGCCCCCCATTGCCCCCCATCACCCCATTGACCCCCATCACCCCATTGACCCCCATCACCCCATAGCCCCCCATTGTCCCCCATAGCCCCCCATATCCTCACCCTGCTGTGGGGCTCCAGCTTGCGGCACCCTGCCCCACACCACCCCATCACCCCCATAGCCCCCATTGACCCCCATCACCCCATTGCCCCCCATAGACCCCCATCACCCCATAGCCCCCCATACCCCATAGCCCCCATTGACCCCCATCACCCCATTGCCCCCCATCACCCCATAGCCCCCCATAGCCCCCATTGCCCCCCATCACCCCATAGCCCCCATTGACCCCCATCACCCCATTGACCCCCATCACCCCATAGCCCCCCATGTCCTCACCCTGCTGTGGGGCTCCAGCTTGCGGCACCCTGCCCCACACCACCCCATCACCCCATAGCCCCCATAGCCCCCCATCACCCCATTGACCCCCATCACCCCATTGACCCCCATCACCCCATAGCCCCCCATAGCCCCCATTGACCCCCATCACCCCATACCCCATTGACCCCCATCACCCCCGTTACCCCATTGACCCCCATCACCCCATAGCCCCCATTGACCCCCATTACCCCCATTGACCCCCATTGACTCCCATTGACTCCCATTGACCCCCATAGCCCCCCATAGCCCCCCATATCACCCCATTGCCCCCCATATCCTCACCCTGCTGTGGGGCTCCAGCTTGCGGCACCCTGCCCCACACCACCCGCATTGGGGGTCCCGGCTGCAGCCCCCCGGCTCCGAGCGATTTTGAATCAATTTCGGGCGGTTTGGCGTCGATTTTGGGTCATTTCGGGGCGATTTTGGGGGAATTTCGGGCGATTTTTATTCCATTTTGGGAATTTGTGTCAATTTTGAGCAATTTTGGGTCATTTGGGCTCGATTTTGGGTCAACTTCGGGCGATTTTGGGGCAATTTTGGGTCATTTTGGGCCAATTTTGGGACAATTTCGAGCGATTTCGGGGGATTTGGGGTCATTTTGGGTCAATTTCGAGCTATTTCAGGTCATTTTGGGCCGATTTTGGGTCAATTTCGGGCAATTTTGGGCGATTTTGGGTCAACTTCGGGCCGATTTTGGGTAAATTTCGGGCGATTTTAGGTCATTTGGGGTAGATTTTGTGTCAATTCCTGGCAATTTTGGGTCATTTTGGCTCATTTTGGATCAATTGCGGGCGGGTTTGGGTCATTTTGGGTCGATTTTGGTTCAATTTCGGGCGATTTCGGGTCATTTTGGGCTGATTTTGGGGCAATTTCGGGCAGTTTTGGGTCATTCGGGGTCATTTTGGGTCGATTTTGGGTCCATTTCGGGCAGTTTTGGGTCATTTTGGGCTGATTTTGGGTCAATTTCGAGCAGTTTTGGGCTGATTTTGGGTCAATTTCGGGCGGTTTTGCGTCCTTTTGGATCATTTTGGGTCGATCTTGGGTCTATTTCGGGCGGTTTTGGGTCACTTTGGCCTGTTTTTGCGTCAATTTCGGGCGTGATTTTGGGTCATTTTGGATCATTTTGGGTCATTTTGGGTCGATTTCGGGTCAATTTTGGGCGATTTGGGGTCATTTTGGGCGGTTTTGGCTCACTGGGGGTGACTCACGCCGGGCCCCTCCCCCGCCCAGGCGAAGCGCGGGAGTTTGTACGCGATGACGTCACCGAGGGCGTCGCCGCTGAAGCCTCCCGCCACCAGGAGCACCCCTCCCCCCAGGGCGGCGGCCACGTGACCAAAGCGGCCCCGCGGCGGGGGGGGGGGAGGGCGGGAGCCGGGCTCCTCGGGGTCACCTGGGGCAAAGGTCACGCAGGGGTCAGCCCCACATCGCCCCACACCCACCCCCCATAGACCCCCCAGACCCCCATTGACCCCCATAGACCCCCATTGCACCCCATTGCCCCATACCCCCATTGCCCCACACCCCCATGCCCCATACCCCATTGATACCCCCCCCCATTGACCCCCATTGATCCCCATGGACCCCCATTGACCCCCATAACCCCCCCATTAAGCCCCAGTGACCCCCCCAGTGACCCTCATGGGGCCCATACCCCCCATTGACCCCCATTACCCCCATTACCCCATTGCCCCCCATTACCCCCACACCCCCCCTGCCCCATAGCCCCCTATGGGGCCCGTACCCCCCATACCCCCCATTACCCCCACACCCCCCCTGCCCCATAGCCCCTATGGGGGCCCATGCCCCCCCCCATTGACCCCCATTACCCCCATTGCCCCATAGCCCCCATAGCCCCCCATAGCCCCCCATTACCCCCACACCCCCCCTGCCCCATAGCCCCCTATGGGGCCCATACCCCCATACCCCCCATTACCCCCATTGACCCCATAACCCATAGGGACCCCATTACCCCCATTGACCCCATATCCCCCATTGACCCCCATTGACCCCATACCCCCCCATTGACCCCCATATCCCCCCATTGACCCCATACCCCCCCATTGACCCCCATTGCCCCATTGACCCCCTTTACCCCCACACACCCCTCCCTGCCCCATAGCCCCCTATGGGGCCCCATTACCCCCATTACCCCCACACCCCCATAGCCCCCATTACCCCCACCCCCCACCCCATAGCCCCCTATGGGGCCCATACCCCCCATTGAGCCCCATTACCCCATAGCCCCCCATTACCCCCACACCCCCCCCTGCCCCATAGCCCCCTATGGGGCCCTGTGACCCCCCCCCCCCCATTGACCCCCATTGCCCCACACCCCCCCCTGCCCCATAGCCCCCATGGGGCCCATACCCCCCCTTGACCCCCATTACCCCATTGACCCCCATTACCCCATTGACCCCCATTGCCCCCCATTGCCCCCCATTGACCCCCATAACCCCCCATTGACCCCCATTGCCCCACACCCCCCCCTGCCCCATAGCCCCCTATGGGGCCCATACCCCCCATTACCCCATTGACCCCCATTACCCCATAGCCCCCCATTACCCCCACACCCCCCCCTGCCCCATAGCCCCCTATGGGGCCCATACCCCCCATTGACCCCCATTACCCCATTGACCCCCATTGACCCCCATTGCCCCATAGCCCCCCATACCCCCATTGACCCCCATTGCCCCATAGCCCCCTATGGGGCCCGTACCCCCCCGCAGCTCCTCGGGGGTCACCCATTGGTGGCAGCCCACGTGATAGAAGAAGACGCCCTCCTCGTAGCACTTCTCCTCCTCGTAGTGGGCGTGCACGTGACCCCCTAGGGCCCCGCCCCATAGGAGCACACTTAGGGGGCGCTATGGGGCCCAATGGTCTCCTATAGGGCCCAATGGTCTCCTATGGGGGCGCTATGGGGCCCAACGGCCTCCTATGGGGCCCCACGGTCTCCTATAGGGGGCGCTATGGGGCCCAACGGTCTCCTATGGGGCCCCACGGTCTCCTATGGGGCCCCACGGTCTCCTATAGGGGGCGCTATGGGGCCCAACGGTCTCCTATGGGGCCCCACGGTCTCCTATAGGGGGCGCTATGGGGCCCCACGGTCTCCTATGGGGCCCCACGGTCTCCTATAGGGGGCTACAGGGCCCTGGGGCCCACGGTCTCTATGGGGCACCATAGGTCCCTATGGGCGCTATGGGGCCGATGAGCCTCCTATGGGGCCCCACGGTCTCCTATAGGGCGCGCTATGGGGCCCAACGGTCTCCTATGGGGCCCCACGGTCTCCTATGGGGGTGCTATGGGGCCCCACGGTCTCCTATAGGGCGCGCTATGGGGCCCAACGGTCTCCTATGGGGCCCAACGGTCTCCTATGGGGCACCACGGTCTCCTATGGGGCCCCACGGTCTCCTATAGGGCGCGCTATGGGGGGTCTCCTCTGGGGCCCTACGGTCTCCTAGGGCGCGCTATGGGGCCCAACGGCGCTATGGGGCCCATGGGGCCCCACGGCCCTATGGGGCCCCATAGGTGTTCTAGAGCGCTATGGGCCCCACGGTCCCTATGGGGCCTACGGTCTCCTATAGGGGCGCTATGGGGCCCCATGGGCCTATGGGGCCCCACGGTCTCCCATAGGGCGCGCTATGGGGCCCAACGGCCCTATGGGCCCCATAGGAGTCTCCTATGGGCGCGCTATGGGGCCCCACTATAGTCTCCTATGGGGCCCGATGAGCCCCATAGCGCCCTATAGGTGTTATAGAGCCCTATGGGGCCCAATGGTCTCCTATGGGCGCGCTATGGGCCCCATGGGGCCCCACGGTCTCCTATGGGGCCCCACGGTCTCCTATAGGGCGCGCTAGCACCATAGGGCCCTATGGGTGCTCTATGGGGCCCCACGGTCCCTATAGGACCGCTATGGGGCCCCAGGTCCCTATGGGCCCCATAGCGTCCCCATGGGTTATAGAGCGCTATGGGCCCCATAGGTCCCTATGGGCCCCACGGCACCCTATAGGGTTATAGGCCCAACGGCCTCCTATGGGGACCAATGGTCCCTATGGGCGCTATGGGGCCCCAAGCTTTCACCACAGCGCCCTATGCACATAGCCCATAGCGCCCTATAGAGCCCTATGCGCGCTATAGAGGGGCCCATAGGCCTATGGGGCCCCTAGATGAGCCCCATAGCTCCCATAGCGCCCCCATAGGTCCCTATGGGCCTATGGGGCCCCAGCCCCATAGCGCCCCTATAGGGGCCCATAGAGCCCTATGAGCCCCATAGGACCCTATGGGGCCCCCCATGGCCCCATAGCGCCCTATAGGGCACCATAGGTGCCCTATGGGCCCCCACCATAGAGCCCCTATGGGCGCCTATGGGGCCCCATAGGCCCCATAGTGCCCCATAGGGCCCTATGTGTGCCCCAGAGCCCCATGAGCGCCCCATAGCGCCCCTATAGGGCGCGCTATGCACCCCCAACCATAGGGCCCTATAGCTCCCATAGAGCCCTATAGCACCCTATAGGTGTTCTAGAGCCCTATGAGCGCTATAGGACCCTATGGGCGCTCTAGGGACCTATAGGCACCATAGGTCCCTATGGGCGCTATGGGGCCCGATGAGCCCCATAGCGCCCTATAGCGCCCTATGGGTGTAGCCCCATGGGGCCATAGCGCCCATGGGGTTCACCCCATAGGGTACCCATAGCGCCCCATAGAGCCCCATAGAGCCCCATAGCGCCCCATAGCGCCCCATAGCGCCCCATAGCGCCCCATAGCACCCCATAGCGCCCCATAGCGCCCCATAGAGCCCCATAGAGCCCCATAGAGCCCCATAGCGCCCCATAGCGCCCCATAGAGCCCCATAGCCCCATAGCGCCCCATAGCGCCCCATAGAGCCCCATAGCGCCCCATAGCGCCCCATAGCGCCCCATAGAGCCCCATAGAGCACCGTCCCCATAGCGCCCCATAGCGCCCCATAGAGCACCATAGCGCCCCACAGCACCCCATAGTGCCCCATAGCGCCCCATAGAGCCCCATAGCGCCCCATAGAGCTCCCTACAGGACTGGAGGTCTAAAAGAGCCCCATAGCGCCCTATAGCGCCCTATAGTGCCCCATAGCACCCCACAGCACCCCATAGAGCACCATAGCGCCCCATAGGGGTCTCTCACCATGGACACCCATGGGGTTCCACATAGCCCCGGAGAAGCGCAGAGCGCCCCATAGCACCCCATAGAGCCCCATAGAGCCCCATAGAGCACCATAGAGCACCATGTAGTCCCCATAGCGCCCCATAGCGCCCCATAGCGCCCCATAGCGCCCCATAGCTCACCATAGAGCACCATAGCGCCCCATAGCGCCCCATAGCGCCCCATAGCTCACCATAGAGCCCCATAGCTCACCATAGAGCCCCATAGCGCCCCATAGCGCCCCATAGCGCCCCATAGCGCCCCATAGCGCCCCATAGAGCCCCATAGCGCCCCATAGCGCCCCATAGCGCCCCATAGCTCACCATAGAGCACCATGTAGTCCCCCAGCAGGGTGGCGCTGTGGAAGGCCCGCCCCCGAGGCCCCGCGGCCCCGCCCCCCCGCAGCGGCGCCCAATGGCGGCGATCGACGTGGAACAAATGGGTCTGGTTCACGCGGGAGCTGAACCTGGGGGGCAGAGACCCATAGAGACCCATAGAGACCCATAGAGACCCATAGAGACCCATAGAGACCCATAGAGACCCATAGAGACCCATAGGGACCCATAGGGACCCATAGAGACCCATAGAGACCCATAGAGACCCATAGAGACCCATAGAGACCCATAGAGACCCATAGAAACCCATAGAGACCCCATAGAGACCCATAGGGACCCATAGAGACCCATAGAGACCCATAGAGACACATAGAGACCCATAGAGACCCCATAGAGACCCATAGGGACCCATAGAGACCCATAGAGACCCATAGAAACCCATAGGGACACATAGAGACCCATAGAGACCCATAGAGACCCATAGGGACCCATAGGGACCCATAGAGACCCCATAGACAATGGGTTCCCATTGCCCCCCATAGGCTCCCGTTGTGTCTATCGCCCCCCTGTGGCCACACCTGGGTACTGCACCCTACGGGCTCCCATTGCTCTCTATGAGCTCCCATAGAGCCCCATAGCGCCCCGCAGCGCCCATAGCGCCCCATAGGACCCCATAGCCCCCCATAGCCCCCCATAGCCCCCCATTGCCCCCCATGGCTCCCTATGGGCCCCATGGGTCCCCTATAGCCCCCCATAGGCTCCCGTTGTGTCTGCCGCCCCCCTGTGGTCACACCTGGGTACTGCACCCTATGGGCCCCCATTGCTCTCTATGGGCTCCCATTGCCCCCTATAGCGCCCCATAGCACCCCATAACCCCCTAAGGGCTCCCATTGATCCCTATAGCCCCCCATAGCCCCCCTATAGCCCCCCATAGCCCCCTATAGACCCCCATTGCCCCCCATAGCCCCCTATGGGCTCCCATTGCCCCCCATAGACTCCCGTTGTGTCTATCGCCCCCCTGTGGCCACACCTGGGTACTGCACCCTATGGACCCCCATTGCTCTCTATGGGCTCCCATTGCCCCCCATAGCCCCCTATGGGCTCCCATTGATCCCTATAGCCCCCCATAGCCCCCCATAGCCCCCCATTGCCCCCCATGGCTCCCTATGAGCTCCTATTGTCCCCTATAGCCCCCCATAGGCTCCCATTGTGTCTGTCGCCCCCCTGTGGCCACACCTGGGTACTGCACCCTATGGGCCCCCATTGCTCTCTATGGGCTCCCATTGCTCTCTATGGGCTCCCATTGCCCCCTATAGCGCCCCATAGCACCCCATAACCCCCTAAGGGCTCCCATTGATCCCTATAGCCCCCCATAGCCCCCCATTGCCCCATCACCCCCTATAGCCCCCCATAGCCCCCCATAGTCCCCTATGGGCTCCCATTGCCCCCCATAGACTCCCGTTGTGTCTATCGCCCCCCTGTGGCCACACCTGGGTACTGCACCCTATGGGCCCCCATTGCTCTCTATGGGCTCCCATTGCCCCATAGCGCCCCATAGCGCCCCATAGCCCCCCATAGTCCCCTATGGGCTCCCACTGCCCCCCCATAGCCCCCCATAGCCCCCTATGGGCTCCCATTGCCCCCCATAGACTCCCGTTGTGTCTATCGCCCCCCTGTGGCCACACCTGGGTACTGCACCCTATGGACCCCCATTGCTCTCTATGGGCTCCCATTGCCCTATAGCGCCCCATAGCGCCCCATAGCGCCCCATAGCCCCCTAAGGGCTCCCATTGATCCCTATAGCCCCCCATAGCCCCCCTATAGCCCCCCATAGCCCCCTATAGACCCCCATGGCCCCCTATGGGCTCCCATTGCCCCCCATAGACTCCCGTTGTGTCTATCGCCCCCCTGTGGCCACACCTGGGTACTGCACCCTATGGACCCCCATTGCTCTCTATGGGCTCCCATTGCCCCATAGCGCCCCATAGCGCCCCATAGCCCCCTAAGGGCTCCCATTGATCCCTATAGCCCCCCATAGCCCCCCATTGCCCCCTATAGCCCCCCATGGCTCCCTATGAGCTCCTATTGTCCCCTATAGCCCCCCATAGGCTCCCGTTGTGTCTGTCGCCCCCCTGTGGTCACACCTGGGTACTGCACCCTATGGGCCCCCATTGCTCTCTATGGGCTCCCATTGCCCCCTATAGCGCCCCATAGCACCCCATAACCCCCTAAGGGCTCCCATTGATCCCTATAGCCCCCCATAGCCCCCCATAGCCCCCCATTGCCCCCCATGGCTCCCTATGGGCTCCCATTGTCCCCTATAGCCCCCCATAGGCTCCCATTGTGTCTGCCGCCCCCCTGTGGCCACACCGGGGTACTGCACCCTATGGGCCCCCATTGCTCTCTATGGGCTCCCATTGCCCCATAGCGCCCCATAGCGCCCCATTGCCCCCCATAGTCCCCTATGGGCTCCCATTGCCCCCCCATAGCCCCCCATAGCCCCCTATGGCCCCCCATAGCCCCCTATGGGCTCCCATTGCCCCCCATAGGCTCCCGTTGTGTCTGTCGCCCCCCTGTGGCCACACCTGGGTACTGCACCCTACGGGCTCCCATTGCTCTCTATGGGCTCCCATTGCCCCATAGCGCCCCATAGCGCCCCATTACCCCCCATAGCCCCCTATGGGCTCCCATTGCCCCCTATAGCCCCCCATTGCCCCCTATAGCCCCCCATAGCCCCCTATGGGCTCCCATTGCCCCCCATAGGCTCCCGTTGTGTCTGCCGCCCCCCTGTGGTCACACCTGGGTACTGCACCCTATGGGCCCCCATTGCTCTCTATGGGCTCCCATTGCTCTCTATGGGCTCCCATTGCCCCATAGCGCCCCATAGCGCCCCATAGCCCTCTATGGGCTCCCATTGATCCCTATAGCCCCCCATAGCCCCCCATAGCCCCCCATTGCCCCCCATGGCTCCCTATGGGCTCCCATTGTCCCCTATAGCCCCCCATAGGCTCCCGTTGTGTCTGCCGCCCCCCTGTGGCCACACCTGGGTACTGCACCCTATGGACCCCCATTGCTCTCTATGGGCCCCCATTGCCCCATAGCGCCCCATAGCACCCCATAGCGCCCCATTGCCCCCTATAGACCCCCATAGCCCCCCATTGCCCCTCATAGCCCCCTATGGGCTCCCATTGTGTCTGCCGCCCCCCTCTGGCCACACCTGGGTACTGCACCCTATGGACCCCCATTGCTCTCTATGGGCTCCCATTGCCCCATAGCGCCCCATAGCGCCCCATAGCGCCCCATAGCGCCCCCCCCCAGCGCGTGCCCCACCTGGCGCTGGCCGGCCGGTGCCCCCCATAGAGGATGAGGGTTCGGGTTGGGGGGTGGAAGAGCAGCGAATGCCCCGCGGCCGCCGGCGCCTTCCCCCCCCAGGGCTCCACCAGCTCCCAGCGCCCCCCAAGTAGGGGGAAGCGGAAGAGAAGCGACGAGAAGAGGTCCTGGGTGGTGCGGCCTGGGGGGGAGATGTGGGGGGAGAGGGGGGTAAAGGTGGGGTAGCGATGGGGGAACAATGGGGTAGCAATGGGGGAGCAATGGGATCACAATGGGATAACAATGGGATTTAATGGGACCCAATAAAATCCAATGGGATAACAATGGGACCCAATAGGATCCAATGAGATAACAATGGGATCCAATAGGATAACAATGGGATCCAATGGGACCGAATAAAATCCAATGGGATAACAATGGGATCCAATGGGATCACAATGGGATAACAATGGGATCCAATGGGATCCAATGGGATTTAATGGGATCCAATAGACTCCAATGGGATAACAATGGGATCCAATGAGATCACAATAGGGCAACAATGGGACCCAATGGGATCACAATGGGATCCAATGCGATTCAATGGGATCCAATGGGATAACAATGGGATCCAATGGGATCCAATGGGATTCAATGGCATCCAATAGGATCCAATGGAATCACAATGGGATAACAATGGGATCACAATGGAATCCAATGGGATAACAATGGGATCCAATGGGATCACAATGGGACCCAATGGGATAACAATGGGATCCAATAGGATAACAATGGGACCCAATAGGATCCAATGGGATAACAATGGGATCCAATGGGACCCAGTAGGATAACAATGGGATAAAATGGGATCCAATGGGACCCAATGGGATCCAATGGGACTCAATGGGATAACAATGGGATCCAATGGCATCCAATGGGATCTAATGGGATCACAATGGGATAACAATTGGATCCAATAGGATAACAATGGGATCCAATGGGATCACAAAGGAACCCAATGCGATTTAATGGCATCCAATGGGATAACAATGGGATAACAATGGGACCCAATAGCATCCAATGGGACCCAATGGGATAACAAGGGGAACCAATAGCATCCAATGGGATCACAATGGGATCCAATGGGATCCACGCCCCCCCCCATCCCGCCTTAAGCCCCGCCCACCTCCGAAGACGTAGAGCCAATCATCGACGACGGCCACGGCGTGAGCGGCCAATCCGGGCGGGGCGGGGGCGTGTCCCGGCAGGGGGCGGAGCTCCCGCCAGCCCCGCCCCTCGGGCTCCAGGCTCCAAACGTCATTGGTCAGCGCCCCCCCCGCCAGCTCCCCCCCCATGAGAACGAGGCTGCGGCGCCAGGGGGCGGCGGCGTGGGAGTGACGGGGGGGCTGGGGGGAGATGGGGGTCACAATGGGGCAGGATGGGGGTCACAATGGGGGGAGATGGGGGTCACAATGGGGCAGGATGGGGGTCACAATGGGGGGAGATGGGGGTCACAATGGGGGGAGATGGGGGTCACAATGGGGGGAGATGGGGGTCACAATGGGGGGAGATGGGGGTCACAATGGGGGGAGATGGGGGTCACAATGGGGGGAGATGGGGGTCACAATGGGGCAGGATGGGGGTCACAATGGGGCAGGATGGGGGTCACAATGGGGGGGATGGGGGTCACAATGGGGGGAGATGGGGGTCACAATGGGGGGGATGGGGGTCACAATGGGGCAGGATGGGGGTCACAATGGGGCAGGATGGGGGTCACAATGGGGCAGGATGGGGGTCACAATGGGGCAGGATGGGGGTCACAATGGGGCAGGATGGGGGTCACAATGGGGGGAGATGGGGGTCACAATGGGGGGAGATGGGGGTCACAATGGGGGAGATGGGGGTCACAATGGGGGGAGATGGGGGTCACAATGGGGCAGGATGGGGGTCACAATGGGGGGGGATGGGGGTCACAATGGGGCAGGATGGGGGTCACAATGGGGGGAGATGGGGGTCACAATGGGGGGAGATGGGGGTCACAATGGGGCAGGATGGGGGTCACAATGGGGCAGGATGGGGGTCACAATGGGGCAGGATGGGGGTCACAACAGATGGGGGTCACAATGGGGGGATGCACAATGGGCAGGAGATGGGGGTCACAATGGGGGGGAGATGGGGGTCACAATGGGGCAGGATGGGGGTCACAATGGGGCAGGATGGGGGTCACAATGGGGGGAGATGGGGGTCACAATGGGGGGAGATGGGGGTCACAATGGGGCAGGATGGGGGTCACAATGGGGGGAGATGGGGGTCACAATGGGGCAGGATGGGGGTCACAATGGGGGGGGATGGGGGTCACAATGGGGGGAGATGGGGGTCACAATGGGGGGGATGGGGGTCACAATGGGGGGAGATGGGGGTCACAATGGGGGGAGATGGGGGTCACAATGGGGGGAGATGGGGGTCACAATGGGGGTCACAATGGGGGAGATGGGGGTCACAATGGGGGGGATGGGGGTCACAATGGGGGAGATGGGGGTCACAATGGGGGGAGATGGGGGTCACAATGGGGGAGATGGGGGTCACAATGGGGGGAGATGGGGGTCACAATGGGGGAGATGGGGGTCACAATGGGGCAGGATGGGGGTCACAATGGGGCAGGATGGGGGTCACAATGGGGCAGGATGGGGGTCACAATGGGGCAGGATGGGGGTCACAATGGGGGGAGATGGGGGTCACAATGGGGGGGATGGGGGTCACAATGGGGCAGGATGGGGGTCACAATGGGGCAGGATGGGGGTCACAATGGGGCAGGATGGGGGTCACAATGGGGGGAGATGGGGGTCACAATGGGGGGGATGGGGGTCACAATGGGGGGAGATGGGGGTCACAATGGGGCAGGATGGGGGTCACAATGGGGGAGATGGGGGTCACAATGGGGCAGGATGGGGGTCACAATGGGGCAGGATGGGGGTCACAATGGGGCAGGATGGGGGTCACAATGGGGGAGATGGGGGTCACAATGGGGCAGGATGGGGGTCACAATGGGGGGAGATGGGGGTCACAATGGGGCAGGATGGGGGTCACAATGGGGGAGATGGGGGTCACAATGGGGGGAGATGGGGGTCACAATGGGGCAGGATGGGGGTCACAATGGGGCAGGATGGGGGTCACAATGGGGGGAGATGGGGGTCACAATGGGGCAGATGGGGGTCACAATGGGGGGAGATGGGGGTCACAATGGGGCAGGATGGGGGTCACAATGGGGCAGGATGGGGGTCACAATGGGGGGGATGGGGGTCACAATGGGGCAGGATGGGGGTCACAATGGGGGGGATGGGGGTCACAATGGGGCAGGATGGGGGTCACAATGGGGGAGATGGGGGTCACAATGGGGCAGGATGGGGGTCACAATGGGGCAGGATGGGGGTCACAGATGGGGGTCACAATGGGGCGGGATGGGGGTCACAATGGGGGGAGATGGGGGTCACAATGGGGCAGGATGGGGGTCACAATGGGGGGAGATGGGGGTCACAATGGGGGGAGATGGGGGTCACAATGGGGCAGGATGGGGGTCACAATGGGGGGTCACAATGGGGGTGATGGGGGTCACAATGGGGGGAGATGGGGGTCACAATGGGGGGGGATGGGGGTCACAATGGGGGAGATGGGGGTCACAATGGGGCAGGATGGGGGTCACAATGGGGCAGGATGGGGGTCACAATGGGGCAGGATGGGGGTCACAATGATGGGGCAGGATGGGGGTCACAATGGGGCAGGATGGGGGTCACAATGGGGCAGGATGGGGGTCACAATGGGGGGAGATGGGGGTCACAATGGGGGGAGATGGGGGTCACAATGGGGGAGGATGGGGGTCACAATGGGGCCGGATGGGGGTCACAATGGGGGGAGATGGGGGTCACAATGGGGGGAGATGGGGGTCACAATGGGGCAGGATGGGGGTCACAATGGGGGGAGATGGGGGTCACAATGGGGGGAGATGGGGGTCACAATGGGGGGGAGATGGGGGAGGATGGGGGTCACAATGG